CGAGTCAGTATCTAGATCAATGACCGTTTGGGAATACCAGGTGCTGTAAACATGGATATACATTTGGTTTAATGGATAACTGATTAGAATTGAAAATCGGAGAGTCAAGATCCAATTCCAGTTGGGGTCGTTATATTCAGCTATGCGTAAATACAGTTGATAAAAATATTCATCCACCTCTTCTTCAACTACGTGTTAATTAGTAGAGCTTTATGAGTAAAACATTATTATCTCCCTCGAAATTCTTGCAATGTAATAATATTTCTGGCTTTAAATAACCTGCAAAGAGGTTGATAACACGTAAAAATAGGGAAACCATGAAATTTTCACTGGTATATCTGTAGCTCCAAATATTTATATGGTTGTTTGTGGAAGAATGATATTAAACTAATAAGTAAAACAATAATAAAATAACAAATAATTTCCTTTTCCCATAATGCAAAAAGATACCAAAAATCAGTTCCGGTCACGTGTGAATTTTATGACCACACTTCCGGAAAGGATATGATCATTTTTTTTTTTTTATATATCTCCCAACCACCGAGTTATGACGTGTTTCTGGGCATGTTTGTTTTTTTATAATGTTATAATCCCGCAATTATTTCGTCCAGTCAACTGATGTTCCCGCCACATTTAGGCACTGTGGTTTTTTTTTATTACTAACCCTATTTTGTTTTGTTTTATGTAAATAGTATTAAATCATATTGTAAATAATCATTGGGGTTTTTAAATTGTTGTTTTTCCCCTTCCCCCACAGACTTTGAAATGTACATATGAGGACTATTTAGGATTTCATAGAGAATTTGAGGCATTAAGGTGGACGCAGTAAGAAAGGTAGGAGTGAATGTGTTGTTTTAGTCATAGGAATATTGTTGGTATTTTTGGGTCCGTGTCTGTGACTAGCTAAGTTTAGAATTAAGACAGAAGAAGACCGTCCTTCCCCAACCCCCTTTTAGGCCTTGTGCCACACTTTGTACTTTTGTACGAATAAATAACGTTTCTTAGCCAGGTTAACGAAGTGGATATTGGTCACCCTCACTCAATGTCAGGCTGACTTGAGATTGACCGAGACTTGCTGGAATCTGTTCCAGCAAGACGGTCGAACTTTCTGCCTTTGGGCAGAGAGGAACCCGGACGAGGCTCCAACCTGATTCTGTTTTTACTGTTTCTACTGGCATTTTTGGTCGAGCCTACGGGCTCGGAAAACCCACATAAAACTCGGACTCGGGCCTTGTGCCACATCTTTCTCTCTTTGCAAGTAAATATTCACTTGAGATTGATCGTTCTCTACACATTTGCATCTTTGTACCTACATGCTTCAATAATCGTTGGCGATTCATTTTCGAATCAAATCTTCGTTTTGTTTATTGCAGTTCACCGTCATTCGAAATCTGTTAGAGGCACGAAGTCGAATAGCACTTCCACAAGTTATTATAGATATTTATTGCCTATAATATTTAAAACGCCGGCTATTTATAACTCCCCGCTTCATCATGGCGTCCCAGTATTTTTTTTTTTTTTGAGAAAAGCAACAGTTTTTTGTTATAGTGTTAAGACAGATCAAACTACTGTCTTTTCTTCTATTCTTGTCAATATTTGTGAACTATTGACTAGGTTTCATAAAGACAATTAAAGTGTGTCCCTAAAGTCTGGAGATAGGAAATATCTATACATATTTTTTTTAATCTCCACAGATTGACTTTTTAATGAAGTATGTTAAAATTGATATTGCATGAAATAAATCCAACAGGAAGACTCTCTAACCGGTTCATGTGCATTAGACTGCGAAAGTGACTAACATACTTTTTTCTTATTTTGTTAGGTTAGATTTTATTACACAACATTAAATAATGTACATAGATTGCAAAACTTGATTCGTAAAATTAGTTGGAAAAGGTTTGATTATAACGAAAAAGTGAGATAAGTATAATTGTAAGCAATCTGAATGATATCACCTATTTGGGTGTGAAGATTATTATACGAAAAATCTGCCTGCATTAACTTCTTTCAGCAATATTTTTTTTTTTTTCGAGTGAACGAACAGAAGTCCCGTGCAAGTGTACAGTTTAAATGCGATTTTATATTTTATTTTAGCCTGACCTGACAAGTTTTTAAGCAAACCACTTTTCTGGTATGTATATAATTTTGTTTTTTTTAAAGTGATATAAACAGTTTTTTTTTTTTTTTTTTTTAAACATTTGTATTTTTACTTTTGAAAGTTAGTACGGAATATTTGTTGTTTAAATGCTTAATTGTATCGTTTAAAATTCAAAAAGTAGGTTATACGTATTTATGCATTTGTTTATGTATTAGGGTAGGTCGATTTTTAAACCAGACGACTGGACAAGTCTAGACAGTTGAGGAAAGATATCACTATACACAAAATATTTTACGTTAAAATCTCTATTCTATTTGAGGAAATTTAGTTACAATCTAACATCTCGGAAATTGCGATGTTAACCGAAATAAAGAAGCCGGAATATTCCATGCTAAGAAGTAGAGTAAATATAAATCAATTTAAAACTGATGCTGAATATTTCTTTAAAATGATGGAAAAGATAACTATGTAAAAATAGTAAACATAATTATAAGAAATAACATGCTTTGTAAATTTTACTTTAAAATAAATTTACGTGTAGTTAAAAAAGCAACATCGATGTATTCAAATCACAGGTTACGCTAAGAAAGCGACCTGTATCAATTCTTGATATCTCCAGGATTAAAATGACTTTAAAAAAAAAAAAAAAATCTTTAAAGATTTTATTTTAGCTTCACGTGAAAGCTAAATGATTACATTTACTGTTCTAGTACTCCCAAAATACAGTGTATTTCAAACAGTAATTATTTTGATTGGAATCGATTTTTTCTTTTTTTTTGCTAAATTCGCTGTTAAGCGTCCCTTTTTAGTAGTCTTTCATCATTTTTTTTTCTTCAAACGGTGGGGTTCACCCTCTATAAGGCCCGGGTCCACTCGTGGTAGAGGGTCCATTTTGGAGGCCATTTGTTTATATAGGAGTGGAAGATAACGGTTAACCCTAGCTTTGAACATGTTAAGCGGGGCAATTATTTGATTTTTGCAAGAATCTCCAAATCAATTCATTTTTACTGAAAAAATAATACCAATATCAAATATTAAGGCGACCATTGACGAAAAAAAAAAGATTTTTAATTAAAATTCCAAACATCCAAGAAAGGATTAAAAACAATATTAAAATAATAAAAAATTACATGGTTATTTTCTCTTAATAATAAATATTTTGACGATAAAACTGTTTTTAAGTTAGGGGCCTTTTTCATCATGCTATACAGATTTTTTTTTTCCAGCGAATTAATGAAGGTACCTAGGTAACAGTCAAATTATTATTATTATTATTATTATTATTATAGTTTATTTAATCTTTCCAAAATGAATTAAAGGAATAAAACCATTCATAAAATCATAAGCATGCCTTAATTTATTTCGGGGGAAAAAAAACTAAAAGGCAAAGTATATTGGTTTCACTTTTTATATTTTTAATAAACCGGATTTAAATTTCCTTGGTGATTATTTGGCTTTACACCGTTATATCAGCCTGTTTCTATTTACATTGGAAGCTTTTAAGAAATATAAGGTAATAAAGATTAATTGCACATTTTTTAAGTAAAATATAAATTGACGGTAATTTCATTTATTATTTCCTAGAGTAATACTTTTTCAAAAATATTTTATTAAAATGGCCGAAGAAAAACGCAATAATAGAAGTGTTTCCTCTAGCCTTGAAACATCCCTTGCTAATGCCTCTCGCTTGCATTTAAAGGCTCTGGGTCTTCTTAACACAGGATTTAATTTTTAAAACATAATTGATAAATCAAAACTAGACAAAAGGCTAAAATAAAAGTAATTAAGCATGAAAGACACGCTGAAGATATTAAAAACCTTGTCTGTTTAGGAGATAATGACAAGATTAATAAGATACTTTGTTGTATAAAGAATTTATAGGGGAAATGAGGACATTAAACTAAAAGAAGAAAGTAGGCAAGAACACCATTTAATATTTACTCAAGAGACAGGAACTGAGACTGGAAAATACCTGACTCTTAGATTAGTTACAACTACAGGTGCCACTAGTTTTGTACTAACAGAAGAAGCTTTTAGTGTTTTGGAAGAATTTGATAGTATAGACAGCCTTAAGACTGTTCTTATGGACAACACAAAAACAAATACTGGATATAAGTCAGGCCTTGCAATTGGGAAGCTCTATCGAAAATTATATATAACTGGCTGTCCCTTATATGAGAATGTGCTACCATTGAGAGCTGTTTTTAAATATGTTGATGGTACAAGAAACCAGACTTATTTTACATACCCACAAGGCAAATTGTTTGAAAGGGACTATCATGATTTGCCACAAATAGAATTCATGAAAATCAGTGTCCTTCTTGATAATCTGGCACCTCTAGTGAAAATGGGACTTCTAAGTAAAATCCAAAGGCTTCTTTTGGAATATACCTTAGGAATTTCCAAAGATAAATTTATTGCTTCGTCCACCGCAATGAAAGTTGGCTCCCTGTGCCACGCCAGGAAATTTTTCTCCCCGGAATCGATCCTTCAAATCTACAAATCAACCGTTCGCCCTTGCATGGAGTATTGCTGCCATATATGGTCTGGAGCCCCTTCTGTTTGTCTCGGGGTTCTTGATAAGATCCAGAGACGGATATGCAATATAATTGGCATCTCGTCTGCAGTCGCTCTCTCACAGACGTGCCGTCGCCTCTCTGTCTTTTTTACAAATACTTTCATGGTAATTGCTCCGATGAACTGCTTTCGCTGGTTCCCAGACTTCGAAAATTCAGGCGTTCTACGAGGCTGGCATCCCGCTCTCACCCTTTCACTGTTGAAACTGTTAAATGTAGCCGTCTCTTCTACTCCAGTAGCTTCATATCTCGCACCTCCCGTCTGTGGAACTCCCTTTCCTATTTTTGTTTCCCTGATAGCTATAATCTCCAACTATTCAAACGTAATGTCAATCGACATCTCCAGTTTCCTTGATCTATCCACTATCCTTCTCATCCTCTCCTCTATCATTCCTATCTTATCTCGCTCCAAATCCTTTGTAACCTTTTGCGTGATACTGGCTTCCAGCCTTGCTTGGGGTGAAATGCTTAAAAATAATCTACATTTTCTGCCTGGAATAGTTGATCATTATATAATACAAGATGGTTAATTTTTAACAACTAGGTTAATTTGTTTGTGGACCAGAGGTATATCCGCTTCAGAACTATGACGAGCTTGGCCAATATTAATTTTTTTTTTATTGATGTATATGCAATTACCTGGTTTGAGATTAAGAGGGGTAGTAAATTCCATAACTAGTAGCTGTATATATTCAATATGATTCAAAGTATTAAGAAACAGTTTGATGAAATTCAAAATATTGCATCCAAATACATCCAATAAAAAGCTTTTCCTCTTATCTGAGATGTTGTATTCGATGATGAAATCTGCTGAATTGGAAGTAAGAGTAACTCTGGAAAAATTTCTGTCCATTAGGTAAGTAAATATATAGAAATAGACTCCTTTATTTGGATTTAAAGGATATATTTTATTTACTAAAAAAATAGAATAAAACAGGCATGGATTGTTTAATTATAACAGAAATTGATTTTTATCCTTTCAGAAGTGGGAAGACACCCTTCCACCTTTTCTCTCTCTCTATTTCTTTCTTTCTCTTTCTTTCTTTCTCTTTCTCTTTCTTTCTTTCTCTTTCTTTCTTTCTTTCTTTCTTTTACTTTCTCTTTCTTTCTTTCTTTCTTTTTCTTTCTCTTTCTTTCTTTCTTTCTTTCTTTCTTTCTCTTAGTTTATTTCTTTCTTTCTTTCTTTCTCTTTAGTTTATTTCTTTCTTTTTTCCTTTCTTACTTACTTTATTTCTTTCTTCCTTTTGCTTTGTGCTGTTTTAAAATATCAAATTTTAAATTACTTTCTTTACCAAATTTCAGGACTCTGTGGAAAGGGATGAAGATGAAGCCAATCTACATCGTTTTGTCCGCGATATTTTTCCTGCTCATCGCCGAGCCAATCGAAAGTGACAACATTCTATTTCTCGGCCTTCCATATTTCAGTCACATACACCCGATGACTTCAATGGCGAAAGAACTTTATAAAAGGGGACATAACTCCTACTTCCCTGTTTCTCAAAATCTGTCCAAAATGTTTAAAGCATTAGATGGAGTCCATTTTGTACACATGCCTGATATCATCAAATTAGCTGAATTCACCGATGTTTCTATAAGTCTTTTCTCTGGAAAGAGCAACTATACACTGTTTGATGTGAAGAATCTCGTTCGGGAAATGTGTGATGATTTGTTGCTCGACCAAAAATGGTTTAAATATTTGAAGTCATTTAACGCCACTTTGGTCGTTGTAGATAGCGCGTTCATGAGCAATTGTTTGGCAATAATTCCTTACAAACTATCGATTCCATTCATATTTATTGGGGCCGGAAATGTACCGTCAGTTCATCGAACACCATGGAACTTTGCCACTTTTCCGTTTGTGGTAACACGATATTCCGAACGCATGTCCTTTATGGAAAGATTGCAAAATAGTTTTATGCATTTACTAAATTACATCATTTCCCCTTTAGGTGCCCCGGCGAAAAGCGTGAAACATTATGCACCGAACAAACCCGATATCCCTTTTGATGAACTTCTTCGTAAAGCAGAGTTGCATATCGTAGAATCTGATGTCTTGATAGATTACGCATTTCCAGCACTGCCAAATGTGGAATATTTAGGTGGGATGGGAACGCAACCTGCCGAAGGACTTGAAGGAGATTTGCTTAAATTTGTTAATTCTTCTAAGAAAGGAATAATTGTTGTTTCATATGGCTCTTTGTTAAAGATACTTCCAAGAGAACATCTTGAGAAAATGGGAGAAACCTTTAAGCAAATCAAATACGATGTCGTCTGGAGATGGTCGGATATAAAATATTCTTCGCCTAATGTATTTTTGACGAAATGGATTCCACAAAACGACTTACTCGGACACTCGAAAACAAAACTGTTCATCACTCACTGTGGCAATGGAGGACAATTTGAAAGTTTGTATCACGCAGTTCCGATGTTAGGCTTTCCGGTATCCACGGATCAGTTTCACAACGCTAGAAGAATTGTGGACAAAGGATATGGACTCTCGATGGATTTATATAATTACACGGTGGAAGAACTTGTGGCAAATATCAAGGACGTTATCGAGAATCCGAAATACAAAATGAATATCCAACAGGCGAGTGATATTTTCAAATCTCGACCAGAACATCCATCTGAAAGAGGAGCGCGTATAGTAAATGACGTCATCAAATATGGCGGTAGTTTTCTCAGGTCTTATTGTCAGGATATCCCATTGTATCAGTATTTTATGCTGGACATTTTGGCTTTTGTATTGTTGCTGGCTGTCATTGTGATTGTCATTGTTGTTTTTGTTTTACGAAAATGTTTATTATTTTGTTGCCGAAGGAAAATAAAAAACGATTAATATGTTAAAAGCAATTCATTTTAAATGCCATGATAGAAATTATAATAATGAATAGAAATAAATCAATATTTCAACATATTAACTAACAAATCACTCATTGTCCTGGGTATGACGATAAACTACATCCAGCAGCAAGGCTTCTGATCAGGAGGTTTTGAGGAGCGCGGAACCACCTCTTAATTGCTGTTGTTCCCAGGTTAATCCTGATCTATTGTGATAGTACCTGATAGGGTCCCAGCTATGGGCAAATAGTTAACCTCCTCAAACTGGTGTCAAAGCAATATGAATGTGTAAAAATAGATTTTATTTTAAAAATGCCAGCGATACATTTTTGAAAAAAAAACTTTCCAGCAATACATTTAACACTCGACCAAAACTCTCTTTGCAAAAATATCAATGAAACCTGATCTACAAACTGATTATACATATTTTATTCATACGAACCTATCTTGTCAGCATTAAGTAACATATTGAGGTTGATTTGCTGTAAAACAAACAAAAACTGAATCAATACGTGTCAGAGCCCGAATCAAAATATTTCCCGTAATATACCTCGTCAGCCGCTCTTGGCATTGCACTCAATACTATCACTGTTCGATACCCTGTCAGAATAAGAAGACCAAGGACAATGAAAATCCTCTCAACAAATCTGAGCCATTCACTAATGCTTATGCCTACATCACGTTGAAAGACCGATAACCATACAATTACCGAAGTTAAGCAATGTCGAGTCTGGTCAGTACCTGGGTGACTGCTTCGGAATACCAAGTACTGCAATCTTGTCTTTGCAGTTGGTACAACAGGTAATGACTCGGAGATCCAATTCCAGTCGGGTTCGTTATATTCACGAGTGTCCTTGGGAAAGGTATGAAGCCATCTCTTCTCTTACCTAGCTATGGATTAAATAGTAAACCTTTTACCAGTAAATCACTCTCTTTTTTTCATGTGCCAAACGAAACCAATTAGTTAACTATTCAAAAGTAGTCTGTTTTTAAACTGAATTTCGTTGAATCTGTTGACGGCGCTTCTGGTTGTTGCTGACAAAGTAATGCGGCTTTGACTCTGTCGTTCGATGGCATGATTACATTCGGAAATCTGAAAATCTTAAAACAAAATGTTATATAGAATTAGGTTTATTTGTTTCTCTTGCCTTCCATATTTTCAAGTCTTATCCAAAGCATTCGTCTGTAAAGAAGTATCTTTTTGAAGATTACATCATCAAACCCGCTTGAGATTATCTGATAGATTAGTATCAAGGTATGCACATCTATTAATCATTTATGCTGGATGCTTTGAATTTTGTAAAGTTGTCGTTTTTTGTTATTTGCTTGTAATTATTATTCGATGAAAATGTTTATCATTTTCTTGTTGAATTAAAACAAAAATAAAGAAAATATACTAACTTCAATGAATTCTAAACAATAAAACAGAAATTTAAATAAGCAGTTTATAGTGTCAATTATTTTGATATGCTGTTTAGTACGTGTTTTATCGATAGAGAGTTTGTTAACTGGAGAAAGACTAGAATTAGGTTTACATTCCAGACTACTTCAAACAAAAGGCTAGGAAGAACGATAGCGGAAAGTGGATTTGAAAAAAAATGTGAAGAGAGATATTTTATAAGTTTCACCTCAAAGTAGCAAATACTGCTAGGTTAATGTCTGCCAAATATTTCAAACGTATTACCTTTAAGTTATCGATTTATGGTGATTTGTTACATTAATATCATATATTTATTTATGGTTATTTGTTACAGTCATGAGATATTATTCTTTAGCTGTCCTTGATATAACCATTTTGGAAATCTAAAATCGGTAATGTTTAACAGTAAAGTTACTATGTCAAAAGGACAGTTATTTCCTTGACACCGCTATTATTGTATATTCTTTTTACTCCCTATGCAATATTTATTATTTTCAAAAAGTGATGATTAGAATTTTAATAAAATCTAAATGGATGAAAGTGGATTTATATATTTGCTTTATTCATGACAACAGACAACAATGATATTAAACAGTATTTATTAGACTGCATGCAAAAAATCTTGTTTTCATCGATGTTCATAAAATGGTAGATAATAATTATTGCATAGTAGTTAGTCTATATTTCTGATATGAGGTATTATGTACACTATTTATATTATTCGTACTATTGTCCCCATCTTTGTCGCCATATTACAACGTTTCTGTCTATATTTCTGAGATGAGGTATTAAGTACACTATTTACATTATTCGGACTATTGTCCTCATCTTTGTCGCCATATTTATTACAACGTTTCTCAAGGACACATGGCACAGTGGATAAAGGCGTTGGTTAGATTCAGTGACTGGACCCAAAGTGTGTGAGTTCAATAGCCGGTTAAGGCAGTGGAGAACTTTCAGAGGAAATTAACAGGAGATAACTGATAACTGACATCCATTAAACATGGCACGTGGAACTAGAACAGTCTACTCCAGTGTGCGAAATAAAGGGTTCAGTTCGACATTCCAACCATCTGAAGAAGGCCGGATCGTAAAACGGCCGAAACGTTGTAATGAATATAACCACAAAGATGAGGATAATAATCCGAATTATGTAAATAGTGTCCATAGTAGTTAGTTTACATAGTTTTATATTTTTGAATTTTTATCGTAAATATTTGAATAAAGTGCTTTCTTTTCAGAAATTTTCTTTTATAAAATGGTAAATAACTAATCTTTATAGAAGATAAGTAATAAATTTTATAAATTTCAACAGATACACATGCTGCGAGGTTAATTTCTGCCAAATATTTCAAATTTATTACCTTTAAGTTAGCTATTTATGGTTTTTTGTTACAATAATGTTATTTTCTTTATCTGTTTTTGATATAAACATTTTATAAAAAAAAAAAAAAAAAACAAACAAAACAAACAAAACTCCGGAAATATTTAACCTTTAGGCTCGAAAAAAAAAAAGAAAGAAAAAAGTGTGTCAAAGGAACAGTAATTCCCTTGACACCGCTATTACTGCATACTGTTTTCACTCCCTATACAATATCTATTATTTTTAAAAAGTGATGATTAGAATTCTAATAAGATCTAAACATATGAAAGTGGATTTATATATTTTCTTTAATCTTGACAATAGACAAGAATGATATTAAAGATTATTTATTAGACTGCATGCAAAAAATATTGTTTTCATCGATGTTTATAAAATGGTAGATAATAATTATTGCATAGTAATTAGTTTGCATATTTTTATAATGTTGATTTTTTTTCGTAAATATTTGAATAGAATGTTTTCCCTTCGGAATTTTTTCTTTATAAAATGGTAAATAATACATCCTGTATATTACTTGGTTCACATATTTTTCATAATCTTGTAAATAAATATTACCGAAGAAATCAAAAATCTATACAATAATAGTGGTGTCCAGGCAATATCTTACATTTGACACACCATTTTCTTTTCTTTTTTTTTCCTTTTTTTATTTCAGGCCCGAAGGGTAAACATTGCCAAAAAATCATAATTGAATTCCATCCTTTGTGTCTTTTTTTCGGTTCAGAAAACCTTGAAATTTTAACTTTTGGAACAAGCGACTTATATGAGAAAACCAGACT